GGATTCTGCCCATAACCGAGGACCTCTGTTGACAACCTGCCCTGGGCCCCAGGTTTCCAGCTGTACAGTAGCATGAGGCATATAGAGGACCATCTATCCTTGGCCCGGGACCAAGCTCTGTCCTGTCTTCTCCATGGGCCACCTGAGCAGGACGAGAGTGACACTTACCTGTGCTCATGCCAGGCTCTAACCCCTCCGAGTGCCTATTAGCTCCTAGACAAAGTGAGCTAATGATGTCTTTTTCACAAGGTTGCCGCAAGGGTCTAATTAAATAAGGCATTGGAAAGCATGCGGCACATAGTAGGTACGCAGCTGATGTTACATTTGAATACAGGAGGTCAGCCCCATTTAAACCTTGACTCTGGTCCCGTCTGGGTTTTTGTTTTTGTTTTTCTTTTTTTTCCTTCCCATTCCATATGACACTCTATTGTCTCTCCTGGCAAAGGAGCCTCAGACCCAGCCAAGGTTTCCAAATGTAGCCTCTGCCTTGCCTCTCCCAGGCTCTGCCTCTGACTCAGTTTGTCTGAGTCTTTCACCAAATCCTAAAGTCCCAGGGTCTTCCCAGCCTGTGCTGTCACTGCCTGGGCCAGGCCTGAGCACAGAAGGGTTAAATGAGAGGCCGAGGCTGGGGACTCTGGCCAGGACTAGACCTCATGATGGGCGTGGCAGGAGCTAGAGTTCTCCCTGGCTGCAGGGGGAGCAACCGTAGCCCTGAGCCCCGGCTCTCCCCTCTGTAAGTGCGTACAAGCCCGATGAGAAGTGGTTTCATAAGCGTGAAGAGCAGAGCAAATGCCAAATGGGACCATCATGGACGATCCAGAGCAAGGCAGAGGCACAGGTAGTCCAGGCCAAGGGGTGGCATCAGGGACATCTAGGGCTGAAACCAGAGGCCTTATAGACACCAGCAGCATGAAACCATTTGTGATCAGGGTGAGTATGTGACCAACACAGGCGAAGTCAGAATTCTCGTTCCACGTGGACTGGGGAGAGCTGCAAGAGTGGACAAGGCCTCAGTCCTAGAAGGCAAATGACCAAGACAGAGACTCTGCCAGGGGCATCAGGCGAAAAGCCAGGTGCTGGGGTTGGGCCAGTGTCCGAGCCAGACAAGCGACAGTGAGACTGAGTGTTGTTACAACTCTCAACAACCGTCATATGAGCTAACTCTTACGTAGTGTACTCTGGCCAGGCATTCCTCTAGGAGCTGGATGTTTACTCATCCCAACAATGGGATTTTAAAGATGAAACTGAGGCATAGAGAGTTGGAGTAAAACTCCTGATCTCCAAGACGGGCAGCCTGACCCCTCACATTCATAGCTCGATATCAGCCATCGCGGGACCATTTACACCATGGGAATCGGCAGATGCCACTAATCAGGGCTTTTAAATTTATTTATTTATTGTTCTGAGAACCAGTTTATTAGCACATCATAAGACTCATCCTAGAGTCTCCATGGACCTCATCTGTATGGGGAAAGAAGAGCTGTTTTAACCGAGAAACAGGCAACACCTGACGTACAAGATAAATTGTGTATACAAGATAAACAGCTAACATTTCAAGGGTCTTTTTTTTTTTTAAGATTTTATCTGAGAGAGCACATGTGCATGAGCAGAGGGGGAGGGGCAGAGGGAGAGGGAGAAGATGACTCCCCTCCGAGCAGGGATCCCAGGATCCTGAGATCATGACCTGAGCCAAAGGCAGCCGCTTAACCGACTGAGCCACCCTGGCGCCTCTCGCTTAACATCCTTAAGAATCCTTTGCTGTGTAGATGGTTATTTCCATTTCACAAGGAGGCAAACTGAGGCATAGAGAATTCAAGTATCTTGTGCAAGATTGGGTAACCGCTGGGGGATCCTTTGTTCATACTTGGGCAGCCCTATCCCACAGCCTGTGCTTTGTGGTTTTTAATGAGCCATTTATTCATACTCAGTCTCTAGCCTGCTTTTAATTTGTCTTTTCAAGAAATATGTCTTGAACCTATCTGCCAGGTGTCAGATAGAGTGTAGGCATGGAAAACGGGAAGGTCCGTGTCAGAAGCTGTACACTTCGTGGTTTAAATAAAGCCTGGGGTTGAGGCAAACTGAGTTGGAAGCCTGGTTCTGCCACTTACCAACTCTGTGACCTTGAACAGTGACTCAGTCCCTCCAAGTCCCAATCTCTGCATGTGTAGGAGGATGATCCCTGTGTTTAGTTGATAGGGTTATAGTGAGAGATGAATGATGGAGAACATGCCCAGCAGTTGGCATGGTCTCCAGCACACAGGCAGCACTCAATCCAAGAGGGCCGAGGGGATTCTAGACCCCAGGTTTGTGTACAGATGCCCCATGGGAATTGGGGTTACAGGCATCAATAGATCATTTCTGAACAGAGCAGTAAGAAAGGAAGAGGGAGTACCCAGTTCTTCCCAAGGGAGTCAGGGACGGTTCTGCCGAAGAGGTGACATTCGAACAGGATCTGAAAAGGGTGTTCGAGAGTTTTCCAAGCTGGGAAGGGGAAAGGGGGGGCTTTCCCAGTGAAGGGAAAAGTACATTCCAAGGTATTACAGGAAGGAGTGGGCATCTAACCCAAGGGACATACCAGAATACCCTCACAAGAGGTGTGATCATGCCTTCATGTTTGTGAGTGTTTTCTCCTCGTACACTAAACTCTGTACCTGGGTCTTGGCGGGGGGGTGCTGTTGAGAGAGGGAGCAGAATGAGTGTTTTCAGAGTGTTGGAAAACAGGGTTGAACCAGATGACCTTTGAACTCTGAAATCCTGCTCTTCGATTGATCTTATTGGGGGCTCACCATTCAAGTAGGACTGTCCGCAGCAGATAGTGAACATGGCCTCTGTCAGTAACTGGCTGGGGTGGGAGCCGCCCTACACACTTGAAGATCCAGCGGCCTTTGCCAGGCGGGCTCCGTGGACCAAAGCCTTGGTGCCCTGCCATTCCACCGCCATCCGCCTCATTAAATCCACTTTGACCGCCAGGAAGTTGGGGCTTGACCTTAAGGAAAGGCCCTTAAAAGTCATTAAGTTCGAGTCCCTTGATTTTAGTTGGCGTTGCTGAGATGCAGATTGGAGGAAACGGCCGGCCCAAAGTCACAAGGTGGCCTTGGACAAAAGTCCTGGGCTGCTGGGTCCTTGGCCCGGGAGTACGTTTGTTGCTCCAGTAATGGGACACAGCTTCCACCATCATAGACATCCCCCACCCAAACCAGTCTCCCAAGGAGGACTCTCTGGGCTGATTATTCGAGTGGAGAAACCTGAGGCCACAGTCCAGGGCAGGATTTCCAGGCATTCTGGGCCTGGGGAGAGCACACAAAGCTAATGGCCCTACAGCAAGGAGCTCCTTGGGGGCCCTGGGCAGGAGGACAGGCACGCCAGTGTCCGCCTCTGGCTCCTTCACCAGTTTGCCCACTGCGTGAGCCTGGCAGAATCCCTTCACTCCCAAGCCTTAGTTTCTTCATCTGTAAAATGGGATGCAGCCTAATAGACATAAAGCGAGGATCTTTTGTTAAAAGAACAGGTACAGCACAGCTGCTGTAGTCTGCTGATTGATTCATGCTCACTCTCTTCCTACCTTCAGAGCACTGTTTTCAACAAAGGTGGAAAGCCAGAAGAGAAGAGCGCTCAGGAGCATGGGCGGTGAGGGGCAGATCTGTCATTACTAGCTGTGTGGCCTGGGGCAGGTCACTTCCCGTCTCTGAATCTCCATCTTTCCATCTAGAAAACGCAGGAAATGAAAGTATGTTCCTCCTAGGGCTGTTTGAAGACTAAGGTCTGCCCCACGTTGGGAGGGTGGGGAGGGAGATGGAAAACAAGGAAGAAGACCACGAATGAGCATCTCCATCAGTGTCCCTGTCCCGCGTCATGTTCCCTTTTCACCTGCCCCTCGTCACACTGAATTTTTTTCCCATCTCTCGAATGTGCCCTGTTTTCTCTTAGCTTCAGGCGCGTTCACATGCCCTCCTTCTGCCTGGAACAGCCCACCCGCCCCTCTGTCGTTCCGTAGCTGCTGAGCCTGGCTCCTCATTCATGGCACACCATAGATTTCCTTCCCGGGAACATTTCCTGAGGTCTCTGCCTCATTAGGGACCTCACCGCGGCCCCCACAGCACCCTACACCCTACACTTCTCCTTCAGACTGGCAACCTGTGTCACCATTGCCTTTTGCTGACCTGCGTCCTCCCATTAGGCCGTGAGCTAGAGTTCACCTGTGGCCTGCACATAGGAGCTGTTTAGTAAACACTGGTTGAGCAAACAAATGTTCCAGTCTCTGGGTCTGACTCACATGGAAGATGGGAAACTTTGTGTTGCCCGAAGCCCTCTGCAGGTTGGGCCTCTCCAGCACCTTTCCACCTTCCCTTCTGTTGGGTCTCGGCCACACCCATGCCCCAGTCTCCCACCAACAGAGCAGGATGGAGAAGTCATCATTTATCTGGGCACATCCCAAGCAGAGAACACTCAGACCCTGTGTTTGGGATCCAGCACACTCCAAGTTTACAGCCTGCTCAGACGTGGGGACAGATGGCTGGACAGTGGACAGCTGGGCAGGGAGGGTAGGCAGCTTGGCAAGATGGAAAGAGCTGTGAACTAAGCATTGGGAGATTGGGGCTCAGAGCCTGTCTGTTCCCCCAACTTTGCTGAACACATCAGTCTGAGTTCTCTGGTAACCAGCAACAGAAACGGACTCTTGAGTCATTTAGGCAGAAAGGTATAACACAGAATAACAGGGAATAGGCCTGTAGTCTTGGGCCTTCCCTGTGGCAACAGACAAGTAGGGCACCCAGAGAAGAGAGAGTTGACTCCCAAAGGAAATTTGGATTTTGTTAACTGCCTGAAAACTGCCGTCCATGCTGTGTGACGTGAGGTGAGGCACCTGACCTCTCTTGCCTGAGTCTCCCATCTGCGTGTTCTAAAGCTGGCCTCTCTCCATTCACATCTCCAGTGTGCTTTTTGCTGAGAAGCCTCCTGCCCTGGCCCCCGATGGCGCCTTTCCCCATCCGGACGCCTTGGGAATGAATTATGAGGAAGCCAGGTGAGTAGTGTGTGGGGGCTCCCCTGCCGCTCACCCCACTGAGGAGGCCAAGACCTCTCCACGTGCATGTGTGGGGACTTGTGACTCATCTGCATGAGGTAGTCAGCCTCATCCTTTGTCTTCCATGAAACCAGCATGTCCTTGGCCCCTGCATGCTGAATATGCTGCTGAAAGTCGAGCCGGCATTATGGGCCTCTTTCTGGTCGTGGTCTGGCATCTTCCCCAGGTTGGGAAGCTCCTAGCTAGAGTCTGTCCTCCCGGAGACCCCCCCAGAGCCACTAACTCTAAACGCTGCCACTGTCTTCCACTTGAACTCTACCGTGTATCAGCAAGCTCAGGTCCTGAACACCTGGGATGCAGAGGTGGCTGAGGGGGTGGGGATGCTCTCAAGTGACTGGAAACCCGACGGGGGAGGCAGGTGCATAAACAGGTAACTATAGCAGCAGAACAAAGTAAGAGACAGAAGTAGTGAGCCAGGAGTGTGGGAGCCCCGAGATGGGAGAGTTTGATTCTCCCCAGGAGATCAGGGAGTGCTCCACGGAAGAGGAGATGTTGAGGATGAGTAAGATTTGGCAGGAGGGAGAAAGGAAATTTCAGGCTGAGGTAGCAGCGTGAACAAAGGCCTAGAAGTAGGAGTATACGGGTTTGATTCAGGGAATAGTGATGTCTGGTGGGATCAGAGCTCTGGGAGGGTGGTGGGAGCTCCATGGTGACAGTGAGGGGTGTCTCAGCGGCCCTAGAACCCCAGGAGCATGAAGCCCGAGGTAGAGGGCATGTCTGCCTGGGGTTGGGTCAAGAGGTTGCTGGGGGCTCAGGCTCCCACCCAGGAGTAAGCCTTCAGCATCTTAGTTCCTCCTAGCCCCTCACCTACCCAGGAAGAGGGTGCAGGCTCCTTGGCCTCCCTCCCCAAAGCTGTCAGCTATTTCTCTACACTAGTCCCGGGCAAAACTGGCATTGCCTGCTAACAGCACCCACCCATCCTACTTCACCCCCCAGAGAGCGGTGAGGTGCTCCCAGCCCATCCCAGACGGGCCTCTGCTAGAATGCTGATTCACCCAGCCCACAGCAGGTACCTACCTGTCCTGTGTCTCCTCCACTCGCCATGCGTTCTAGGAAGGTGAGGCGGGCTGGTCCAGGTCCAGTGTCCAGCAGCCAGCAACACGGGGCTCCCCATTACCTTCACACCCGCACGCGTGCGCGCGCGCACACACACACACACACACGTGAACAAGTGATTGTGATGCTATTCGGGTTGCCAGGGGTCTGACCACCTTATTTGCTAGACGAGGCTTCAGGGGCCCAGGATGAGAGAAGATTACCCAGGCATCAGCATGTTGGGAGCAGAGTTTAAAGGAGAGGTTTGGTTTGGCGCAGCACACTGTTCATAATCGCCAGAAGGTGGAAGCAACCCAGATGTCCGTGGCTTGGTGAATGGATAAATAAAATGTAGTATATCCACACAGCCGAATGTTGTTCAGCCATAAAAAGGAACGGAGTACTGATCTGTGCTCCAACCTGGATGAGCCTAGAAAACATTGTGCTAAGTGAAAGAAGCCAGACACAAAAGACCATGTAATGTATGATTCCATTTATATGAAATAGCTAGAACAGGCCGCCCCATGGGGACAGGAAGCAGGTTAATGATTGCCAGAGGCGAGGGGAGGGGAGAATGAGCAGGGGCTCCCTCATGGGTCCGAAGTTTCCTTTCGGGTGATGAAAGGGCTCTGGGCCCCGAGAGTGGTGGCAGTCATACAACATGGTGAATGGGTTAAATGCCACGAGATTGTACACTCTCAAAACGGTTAAAATAGTGAATTTTTCTCTTAGGTGAATTTTATCACAATTTAGAAAAAGGAGTAGTTTGGGACCAGATCAGATGCCACCGGCCAGGTCTAATGTCCATTCCTCAGACACATGCCCCTGGCCCCCCATCCATTATAGACCTCCCCCGCCCAGGCCAAGGGTGGGGGCGCCTCTGACACCTCAGTTCAAGTCAAGCCCCATGGTCAAGTGGAAGAAGGCTGCCCACTGAAAAGCCAGGATTCCTGGCAGTGAGGACTTGCTGATGTGCCTCTGAGGTCTAGCCCCCATCGCTTCCCATCCCACTGACCAGCCTGCTCCCTCCAGCTGGTGCCAGATACATCTCAGACGTCTGCATTGCTCTTGCTGTCTGCACCGTGAAGGAGGTTCTTTCCCTTGTGACCCATCATCCATCTAGAAACATGTTTAGGAACCAGCTCTTATCTTCCCCTTGCAGAAGACTTCCCCCCCCCCACCCTGCCCCCTCACCACAATCTGAGCTGAGCTCCCCAAGGCATCGCGTGAAGACGTCGATTGAAGCAGGTGTGGGAGCAGCCGTGTTTGTGTGTGTGTCTTCCCGAGATGACTGGGAGCTGTGCAGGGAGGGGCCTGGTGGTTCATCACTGTATTCCTAGGACAGCTCCGTGCCTTGCTCACAGGCAGTCCTCAGCAAACGCTTGTTGAATGAGGCAGTGGCTTTGGGAAGGTTCTGTCCCCGCCCAGATATTCTCCATCAATGAGGGAGGGACAGGCTGGGTAATCTCCAAGTCCTTTTATCTTTTATCTCTGGGGTTCTCTGGTTCTAAGAGTAGCGTGTGGTGGTGGGGGACAGCCCAGCAAGTTGCTGTGTTTTCTGATCCTGTTGCCCAGCTTCTAAAAATCGAGGAGAAAGAAGGAACCTGCAGTAATCCACTGCAAGCAGCTATTTCTGCTCTTGGTGGAGAGGAGAGAGGGCAGTGTCCAGAGACTGGGCTTCTCCATCCAGCCTGAATGGACCATCTCTTCTCTTCGGAAATCTAATTAAAACCCTCCCCTGAACAGCCTAGCCATGCAGGTTTTGGCTCCGGTTGCCCGGAGTCCTTCAACTACAAGGCCAAGGGGCGAACTCTTGCTCCATTTTCCTCTACGGATGAGAGGTGCTACTCTTTCTGCTTTTCTGATTATGAAATTAGTCATTTTCTAGGAAGCTTATTTATAGAGTCCGCTGCACACATGCAGCGCTGAGCTATTCTGAACACGGCTTAGGGCCTGGGAGGCTTAAGGTGTGAAAGTAGCTGTGAGTCACACATGGATCCCCTTCCAGAGGTATCTGGATACCCTGGTTACCTTTCTGCACCCAGCCAGGAGCCAGCCTTCATGGGCTGCCCTCCAGCCAGGGTGCTCTTCACAGTGGAGAGAGAAAGCTCAGCCTCTCAGTCCCCACGGCCACCAGTTTGACAGAGTACCTGGAGCAGGTCCGACCTCCATTCTGTGCCCTCTTTTCCTCCTCTCCTAATTGGGGGCCTTCCGGATGTGTGATTCTGTGCCTGCTCTGGACAACAGCTGTGGAGGAGGGTTCCAGGTGGCTTCACAAAGACCTGCCCACGAGGCAGCTCAGATGATGACCATGTTTGAGGTTCCTGATGTTTCTTTCAAGGAGGTCAGGGCAACATTCACGGATTCAACAAGTATTTACTTATTTATTTATTGAACACCTACTATGAACCAGGCACTGTGCAAGGCTTTGAAGATACAATGGTGAATAAAACAGAAATGGAGCTTGTAGTCTAATGTTAATCAAACAATGGCATATATGAAAATGAAATTTCAAACTGTGTCAAGTGTGTGAGTAAAAAGTACTAGGAAATAGAGGTGGAGGGACTCTCTAGGCAGAGAAAAAAGCACGTGCAGAGGCACTGTGGAGAAAAGAACCTGTCCAGTGCAGCTACAGTGCCGAGCACAAAGGGAAGGGGGTATGAAATTAGGTTGGAGGGGTATACCGGGGTCAGATCATGCAAGACCTAGTAAAGCATGTTACAGCATTTCTGTCTTTGCTCTAAGTGCAATAGGATGCCACTTAAAGTATTTTTTACTTAAAGGATTTTTTTAAGAAGGTTATATGATAAATGTTCAATTTTGAAACAGTCGTCTCTAGCTCAGGCCTGCCCCATCCAGTTCTGCAGGTTATAAACTGCACAACCTATGAAGCCATATGTGTTGGAACAAGGTGGAGAATGTTCTAGGGGCAGCCTGAGTGAATGCCAGAGACCAGTTAAAAGACTGCCAAAGTAATCTAGGCAAGAGAGGCTGGCGTGGACCAAGATGTAGGTGGCGGAGAGGGAGAAAAGTGGAAGGATTCAGGAGACACTTAAAGGGCCTTGAAGATAGCAGCCTTCTCTCTGCAGGAGAGCTGGGCTCCAACGTTTGGGATTCTCAGAGCCCCTGCCAGTTGGAGTGAGGAAAAGATAAAATAATGCAATGCCAGTTTAGAGCAGAAGATGTCAGAATGAAAATGGTCACCCTTAACTCTGCCTATCCTTAACTGTTTCAGGTCTGCAGCTGGGCCTAATATGGGCCTCAGGACCAGTCTGAGAGGCAGGATGGCAGAAACAGTGGGCAGAGAGGTAGTTGACCTCTTGAAGTTTGTGGAAATATTATGCTGGCAGTGCTGTATTCAAGTTTCTTTCGGTTGCTAATTTCAGAAATCAGATTCCACTGGCTTAAGCTAAAATGTTGGAATTTATTGGAAGGACCCTGGAGCATCTCATGGTTTTGATAGACAAACTCAAGACTCAGGATGGGCAGGAATGAAGCAGACCCAAGGCCCATAGCAGCAGATGTTTTTGGACCTTCTCTCCAGGACACTGTGGCTACCATGATTTAGAGCCAGCATCCGCAGACTGCAGGCCCTCCAGGACGCATTTGAAAAGTGCAGGGGAGAGGATCCGCTTGCCTCAGCCTGGTTGGTGTGTCTAGCCCTTGATCGGTCAGCTACTGCCAGGGGTCAGAACATGAAGGGCAGGCAGAGTCGCTGGAACCCATATTTGCATATCAGGCCATTTCCAGAGTAGGGGAACCCCCTGTGAGCTGCATAGTTGCCCCCAGGGTGTGTCTACTCTGCTGATACTTCATGGGGTCTAGCTGATCTCCTGCAACCTTTTTCCAGCTTACGGGGTAAAGGAGAAAAGCTAGACCCCAGTATAGTCCTGGAAAGTGCCCTTATTGGCTAGAGAGGGTTTTTTTTTTTAATATTTTATTTATTTATTTGACAGAGAGAGAGAGACATCGAGAGAGGGAACACAAGCAGGGGCAGAGAGAGAGGGAGAAGCAGGCTTCCTGCTGAGCAGGGAGCCCAGTGCAGGGCTCGATCCCAGGACCCTGGGATCCTGACCTGAGCCGAAGGCAGACGCTTAACGACTGAGCCACCCAGGTGCCCGGAGAGGGGGTTTTCTGATGCCAGAAAGAAATAGAACATTTAGAATACACAAAAAATATATATACCTACATTTTCTAACTCTTTCTGGAGGAGAGTTTTGCATGCCACTTTCCACTGCCTGAGGCACAAGGTACTTGCAGGCCTTGAGGAGCTGGGCATAGACGGTGTGTGACCCAGACCTCTCTTCTTGCTCACCTGCGATTCAAACCTACAGGAACGAGGAGGCAGAACAATAAACACAACAGTGAGCGCATAAGCCTGGAGTCCTAGACTGTAATTTCATACCCAGCTCCACCCTAATGAGCTGTGTGACCTTAGGCAAGTTATTGAACTCCTCTGAGCCTGTTGATCGATCCCTATTCTGGGGGTCACGATGAAGACTTAGTGTGATGAAGTTTGTAAGTGCTTTGCACACAGTAAGGCCTCCCTCCATGGCAGAGGGGATGGGGGTGACGATGGTTGTAGGGCATTTGCTGCTCATTATTGCACAGGGAAAACGCCTGCAGAATTCTGCTCCCGCCTCTGCAGCTTGACCCTTCTGCAGGTTGGTCCTCCTCCTTGCTCCCTCCCCCGCCACGGGGTAGGGTTATTCAAAGGGACACAGTGTGAGCAAGAAAGCTTTTTATCCCTGTTCAGGGTTCTGCCTTGATCCCGGCTGCACGGCATCATCTGGCATTTTTCATCCGCTGCAGGAGTGCGAGAGAGAAGCACACGGCCGATGACTCCGAGGGAGGGACCCTGGACATGTGCTGCAGTGACAGGCTGCCGGGTGAGTCTGCCCGGCACCCAGGGGCCCCAGAGTTCCCCGGGCACGGAGAGCGCCCCGGATGGCCCGCGCTGGAGTCGAGCCCGCTTAGCTGTGAACTTGCTCCGGGGCGGGGGACTGACTCAGCTGCTCACAAGGTCTTCGTTTAAATGAGGACTTGTTTTTCTAATCCCTGATGTCTCTCTGACCTGTCATATGAAGCTGCTCTGGGCTCCCACGGAGGGAAGAGCAGGCAGCTGGGGGTGTGCCGGGAGGGTGGAGAGAGGGGTGAGGAGCTGGGGAGTCCAGGGCTGCTGGGCCCCTGACCGCTGAGCAGCAGGGTGTTGGGCAAGACTTCAAGAGGTAAGGCGAGGGGACGCGGACAGCCCAGATGTGGCATGAGCCGAGGGTGGGTGGGCGATGGGGAGAAAGTACCTGCCAGCCCTGTTGAGAGCCTCGCTGTGAGGGTCAGTGCGTGCTGCTTGAGGCTGATTGGCCGCGCTCGCCACCGCCACAGAGACCTTACCGCGGCACTCCTGCCCGGGGCCCGTGGGGTGGCAGCGTGTCCCAGCTGTGACCAAGTACCCAGCTCCCAGAAGGAGTAAAGGAAAGGAGGAGAGGAGACAGCTGTAATATTCGTTTTCTTTTTATAAAACTTTTTTTCTTATAACAAATACCCACTGTAGAAATGATAGAAAATAAGACAAATGAAAAAAAAATTGTTGTACTCCCATAACACAATATTCATTTTCATCTTCCCTTCCAATCCTTTTGGTTCAAAAACAGCCTTTTGAATGCTGACTTTGAAGTCCCAAACCTGTAGCTTGTCAGAAACCTCATGATTGGCAAGGAACCTTCGAGTGGCGTTTTCAGTGACACTCTTTAAGACAGACATTGAAAACACCTAGGTATGACTCTAAAACGATGACTCCTTAAAATAAGTGGTTATTTTACTCCCACCATGAGCCAGTGCCCCAGCTACTGATGAAGCTTCTTCCTCAGGCCTGCAGGTAAGGATTAAGCCCTTTGGTGCAGTTCACGCCATGTCCAGTAGGAGGTACCATTGCTCAAAAACATTTTGGAAGGCCTGTTGAGCTGGTCTAGCGTGGGTGTCATCTTTCAGGGGGCCTTGTGGGGACCCGCAACAGCTAGCTTCAAGAACAGAATTCTCCAAAAGGGATGTGAGAGCTGTCTGTGAATATATGAAAGGCTGTCCTGTGGAGGGAGCAGCAGATTCATTCTGTGTATCTTACAAGGCTGGCATAAACCCGATACGCAGAAATTAAAAAGAGACCTGTTGGCACAAGGGATCCAGAACTTACTTACGTGCTTTCTTTTTTTAAGATTTTATTTATTTATTTTGAGATATATATATAGAGAGAGAGAGGGAGGGAGAGAGAGAGAGCATGAGCGGGGCAGGGCGGGGCAGACTCTCCGCGGAGCAGGGAGCCCGACATGGGGCTCGATCCCAGGACCCTGGGATCATGACCTGCGCCAGAGGCAGACGCTTAACTGACTGAGCCATGCAGGCGCCCCCAGAACTTTCTTTCCGAATCTGAAAGCGGTCCACTCGTAGAACTGGGTAATTCAAGAGGAAGAAAATGAGTGTTCCATCACTGGAGGCATTCAAATATTATCTGGATAGACAGTGGAGAGGAAATTTCCACAATGGGTGGGAAGTCAAAATGACATCAAAAGTCCCTTTCAACTATTAAACGTTCCGTGATTCAGATATGAGTCATAGAATTCAGAGATGATTCTACGGCCAGGGATGGCCCAGCGGCTAGAAAAAACCCACGGAAAATAGGACATGATGTATAGGGAGTCCAGAGAGTTGCATGGTGTGAAGGAAAGAGCACCGGCTTTGGCATTTGGGTCTGGCTTATAGGTTCTGTGTTTATGGACAGGTCACTTACCCCTGCTGGGCCTCTGGTCCTCATCTGTAAATGGGAACAACAGCAATATGAGTATTTATCCTCACAGCAGTATGAATATTTATCCTCACAAGGATTAAAAAAATATAATTACATAGGCATTCATTCCACAGATACTCTTTGAGCGCCTTCTCTGTGTCAGGCATTATGCTAGGTGCTAGGAATCTAGTGGTATATAAAACGGGCATAGTCCCTGCCCTGCTTTGAGCTGCTTCTGGAAAATGGGGTGGAACCACAGGAGAGAGACTACAGCAATAAGAATAATATATGAAATTTCAGCCCTCCCCGAAAGCCAGCAACCAGCTTGGCAGGGAAGAGGAGTATTGGTCATCTCCAGCGGAGCTGGTACAGTGCCTCCCCTGTGCCAGGCACTGTTCCAAATACTCTCACATGTACGTCTCACGAATCCTGTCCCCTGCCCTAAGACGTTGGTATCGTTTCCTGTCCCCATCTTCTAGCTGAGAGGACCGAGGCCCAGGGAAGTGGGGGAGTCTGTCCAAGGTCACTTTGCTAGTGTTTGGTAGAGTGAGGATTCAGTTCATGCTGTCTCTTTCCAGAGCCCATGCTCCTGGTCACCTCCCCATTCTGCCTCCACTGTCACCATGGAGCCACCACCAGTTTCTGGCACTGTGTAAACTGAGGCAAGAAGAGCTAAGGTGTGTCTGTCCCTGGGGAGGAGTCTGGAGGAGATGGGCCATGTCCCCGTGCCTGTCCCCATCTGGGTCCGTCCTGCCAGGGGCTAGGCCAGCTCTACGCCCCTCTAGACTCCCAGGATGCCACCGTCATGTGATCTTGTAATCATGTTTTGCCTGTTTCCTCCACGGGACCGTGAGTTCTTTGAAGGCAGGTGCCTATTTTGTCCTCCACGTCCAGTCTTCATTCACTCATTTCTTCATTCACTGGATGACTGTTCATTGAGTGAATCCCTGGGCAGGGCACTCTTGTAAGCACTGAACCTTGTAAGATTCAACAGTGAACCGAGCTGAGAAAATGTCCACCCTCACAGGGCAGTGTCGTGTGCTGATAAAGAGCAGGGACTCTGGACCTGGGCTTGGTTCCACCCTTTACCCCGGAGGTGATCATGCTCCAGTGACTTAATCCTTCTGTGCCTCCCAGTTACAAAGTATAAGCACGAATACTATTTACAACCACGTAGAGTTGTTGGAGGAGCACATGAATTAATGGAAAGCTCAGAACTGTACCTGGCACATAGGTAGTTTGATCTATAAGCATTTGCTATGTCGAGAAAGATAGACAAGGAATAAAATAAATAAGTAAAATATTTAGGATGGTAGATAGTAGTAGGTGCTGTGGAGGAAATTAAAACCAAGAAAGAGGGATGAGAAAGGACGGGGTGAGGGGGTAGCTTTGTAAATAGGGTGGTCCTGGAAGCTGGCTAGGAGGACGCTTCCATAAATGCTCATCAGCCAGAACCACCGATCTGAGCAGCAACTTGGACATGAAAGGAGGTATAAAGGCCGAGAGAATCGGGGAGCAGGGCCTTTAAAATGAACCCAAGGGCACTGCAAGCAGTTGCATAAGGATGGTGTAAAAATACAGCCATCAAGAAATCTCCCCCCCTGCCCCCAGCTGTCTTCCCGCTGGGCGAGATGAGGTGGAGTGAGGGCTAGCCTTGCCTGAGTGACTCACGCCTTCCCACAAGCACCGCCAGGCAGGGGCGGCGTGGCCGCGGTCACCTGGACCTGAACCAGCACCAAGCAGGTCACATAGACCTCCCAGCTTGAGATTTCTGGGTGAGCACCTCCTCCGGCATCGCCAACACCCCCGGGCAGCTGGGAGGCACGCTCACTCACATCCCCGGGGCGCTGCTCGCATGTGCTCACACGCTCGTCTCCGTCCTCACTTGTCCCAGCCCCGTGCGCATGTATGCGCATGCACAGACCCACACGCAGCTACCCAGGCACACGCCCCGTCTCGCTCTGCCTCTTGAAGCTCCCTGGGCGCACACCCACTTGAAGCTCATGCACCTGCGAGCTTCCTTCCCCTTGTGCACTCGGGATCTCTGCTCCATGGTGCCATCATCCACGCTGATCTGCCTGCTCTGTCCTTCCTGCTTCAGGTCTCTCTCTCTTCCGCAGCCAGGTCCCTTCTCATGTACACGTGCAGACCAGCGGGCACACTCCTTCCCTCCCATTCTCTACCCTTTCCCCAGGCCCTCAGCTGCACGTAGTCTCGTGCACCCCACTCTGTGCACACACACACATACATTTTCCTTCTCCCTCGTGCACACGCTCTCTCACACGGGGTCCCTCTCCTCTCCTTCTCGCTCACCCCCCAGTGCTTGCCTATTTACTTGCTCACAGTCACCCAAATACATTTATACATTCAAACTCACACTCCCCCCGCCTCTGTGTGTAGGTGTTCATATTTGCAAGAAACCAGGCAACCCTGCTGATGCCGGGGCCTCCGCTCCTTCCCCAGCCAGGACCACTGCAGGCCCAGCCTCGAACCCGTGGCTTCCTTTAGGGTACAGGTCAGAGGAAGGAGGTAGACAAGACCATAGGAGGTGCTGGGGATGGCATGACATCACCAGGTGTCGCTCACACTGTCTCCAGCGGGCAGGCTCAGGGGCTGGCCTGCTCCTAACATTTGCAGGGACCACGGCCAGACTGCAAATGAGGCTCCTGGTGGTGCACCACCCTCTGCTAAGTCCTGCACTGCAAGGGCCCTTGTGTGCATGCATGTGGGCACGTCAGTCTGTGGGTCCACACGTGCTCCACATCCCACCCCAATTGCTGCTCCTTGGCCACCCCTCAAATCCAAAGGTACCCAAGCAGGAGGCCACATCCACCCTCAGAAGGGTGTACCTGCACCCACGCAGGCTCCAGGACATTTGGGCAGAGAGCTCTGGAGTCCTAGTAGCCAGAGCGTGGCCTGGAAAGGAGAGTGTAGGCACACCTCCTAGCCCTGTGGAACTCCTTGCCCCCTAGGGACGGCGTGGCCAGAGGAGAACGAGCTCGGTCTGGGTGTAAGGACAACTCTGGTCTTAGAAACAAGGTGCTCCCATAGCATCCTACAGCCAACAGCTGGCTGGAGTCATGGGAGTCACCGCCACCCTGAGACGTAAGT